CCTTCAATGGTCATATATCACAAGTGAAGCTTTCACACTTTGCATCGCCTTGTGAATCTCAGTCAACGTTTGTGAAGGATTCCTGGACTTTTCGAGCAATTGCGAGGCACTTGGTTCACTGATATGTTTCAATCATCTAATGCTGCACTTGCGAAGCCTTTTTCCAACCATTGCAAGTCCTTCGAGGGCCATATGAATGGGGTACATCTTTTGGATTAGTACTTTTAGAATTGCATGCACTGAAAAAAAAAGGGTTTGTTGAATTTATTCCATTTTGTTTCATCAAATGGTTGCACGACAAGATCATCTGGATCCAGATTCATTTTTTACATAGACTATATATACTTTAAAAAAAAAAATCTAAATCCAAATGATTCTATAGTGTGCAGCCACTTGACACAAATAAAATTGAGTACGTTTGGCTGGCCGGTTCGGATGCTTGTGCTGTATACGGCCCACAGGCAGTCGGGTTGCCAACCCCTTATTGAGCACATAATGACGTACATCAAAGCAAAGCACAATACTCTCTCGCAAGTCATTTTCCACAGAACATGGTTGCTTATAAAACAAGCATGAAAAGCAATCTTGCCTAGCCTTCGATTTAAAAATCAAACTAATGTAAGGATAATTACTGGGTTTTTTTTTCCAATAGTACATCCCATATACTGTAAGTACAAATACATTTTTTTTTTAAATCATCCCATTAGATAATAGTATTATCTGATGGGATGATTTACATCCGTATAATCATAATACGGATGTACTGTCCTAACAGGTTGATCTCTAGGGTTTTTTTTTTCCAATAGTACATCCTATATACTGTAAGTACAAATACATTTTTTTTTAAATCATCCCATTCGATAATAGGGATGATTTACATCCGTATTATAATAATACGGATGTACTGTCCTAACAGGTTGATCTCTGCATTCATTTTGCATGTGGTTAAATGAAGGAACTTCAGGTTCGGGATATGTGCAGCACTGATATTTGAAAGTGTTTTAATAATAGTCAACAGCAGATCTTGGTTGTGTTTTAATTGTTCATGTTGGCCATAATACAATCGGCTGGTCCTTGAATGATATTCAGATACTGGATAGAAAGGGTGGGCGACCTACAGCCATTGAGCTATATATCAAATTGTAAAAACAAATACAACCTCGTGAGGTTGCAATTGTAGAAAAGTCCTCAGACGCTCACAAAATACCTTTTTAAATCATGTACTGTATATAATTGCATGCGATCAATATACTATGGTCTTTGGAGGACCCCTGCTGCGTATGTGAACCATTCTCCTGTATCCGCATACTTGAATGTGGAAGCGGGTGTGCCGCCCCGAAGTACAAACTATAGCGATGGACTTGGCCTGGGCAAAGTCGCGTGGATGGGTGTAAAAAGAATATTTTCGCCTGTTGTGAAAAAGCTGTCGCTATTTGGCTTCTCGTTGTCCGGTTTATTTAGGATATTTGAAAGGCTAAACGATATAAACACGCAGTCTCACCGCACTCTGCCAGACTGCATTCAATACTTTGAGACTACTTCCTTCCCTGATTTGTGTAGAAAGGGGGTCTCATAATTGAATAAAATGAGTCCCCTCCCCTCTTTACATACCATGTACACACACACACACACACACACACACACACACACACACACACACACACACACTTTACGGGCTAGCATATAAAGTTAATAGGCCGCATTTGGTTCCAAACCCCCCCGCCTCACTCAGTGGAAATTGAGACGGGTAGTTTTTCAGTTTCCTAAAGTTGAAGTTTATAACACTCAGCTAAAAATGTTACTATGGTGATATGACCACAACATTGCAATTACGAAGACGAGAGCAGACTACGGGAGCTGACAAACAAGCGAGCTGAATGCAATTAGGATAAAAAACATTGTGAGGAGTGTTTATCACCAACAAACAGCGAGCATGCACATTGTCCTGCCACATAATGATGGCATCTTTTTCACATCGACTTCAAAAGTAGCGACGGCAAGCAGGTGAGGGGCAAAATCAAAATCTGGATGGCATAATTGGCTGACTTCAAAGCGCAGGTTCTTTCATTTATTGTCGCCTTGGCGTGGCTGTGGGGGTGTTTTTCTTAAGAAAGCTTTCTCAGGCCACTGGGTGAGCCGCTCAATTGGCGCAAATCTCGCGGCTAATACCCAGCAGTGACCTTTGCTTATGGCTGACTCCTCTAACCCATCCTAAGTAAAACAATTTTTATTCCTAAGCAAAAATGAAATATTTTGCAGGAACTGAAACTGTGACATTGTCCCTCTGAGTAAAAATGGGAAGTGTTTCAATCTGTGTGTGTGTGTGTGTGTGTGCGTGTGTGTGTGTGTGTGTGTGTGTGTGTGTGTGTGTGTGTGAGTGTGTGTGTGTGTGTGTCAGAGCTCAACCAGAGGTCTTGTTTAACAAAAAAAAGCACTTTATTGATGCGACTCTTCTGCAAAAACATTCACGTGGATACACAGTAGTAACTTCTTACACGGTGAAAAGACAGCAAAAATAATCTGACTCAGCAACAATCATATAAATGTTATCGATGTATATTATCAGGAGGGTGTGAAATCCATCCTTTTTAAAAGCATGACAACGCTTACATGAAATCGAGGTCATTGCCCAGCTTCATGTTTTTTCAAGCCACTTAATTAAACGCAATTGAGAAAAGTGCAGAGAAAATGCCCCGTCATACCTGACTTATCATTTGATTAGGAAACAACACAAAAAGTACTTTTACAAGAACACACATCAGCAAGTTGGGATATCGAGTCTTGTTGGAGTGGTAAGGCCCTCTACTGGACATAACAAGGAACTGCAATTGCCGCTGTGGTGCTGAAGAAATTCCCAGAGACGGATGGATTACGCTAAGTGCAAAACGTCAGTCATCAGGGCCAGTACGGCATGATATGAAGCACTGACCTACATTTACTGCACAATCCACATTCTTGCTCTTTGCTCCCAAACATTTTATTCATTTATTCCCAACAGGCTATTCTCTTCTCTTGCTTGGCTGCACTGCTTCCAGTACATGTGCGGATGTTGGATCCCCTACCCAAAGTCATTTCAGCCTGTGTGTGCGGCTATATCAATCTACTCTGCCCAGGGCCTTCATAATAAGTAATGATGGCCGATGTCATCATTTTTCCATCCTCTGATTGGTTGGTCAGAGGAAGAAAAGTTCAACAGGCATAGTCTGTAGCAGTTTGCACACATTCAAATTCAGCCACTCTGGTAAGTAGGTCGTGTTTTATTATGTTTGTTTCTGTCATGTTATTCGATCAATATTGGTTCGGAACTGTTTGATGTGACCGATGCGGCACAGTTGCGTGCATGTTTTATTGATGGCTTCTATAAATGTGACGTGAGAGATGGATTCAGGGAGGCCCCGCTGAACTCCCAAGCCTGCCACTGGTGTGTGTGTGTGTGTGTGTGTGTGTGTGTGTGTGTGTGTGTGTGTGTGTGTGTCAACATAGTGTGTGTGTGTGTGTGTGTGTGTGTCAACATGTGCTTACTGGCCACAAAAGGGAAGAGAGGTAACGGGGGTGAAAGTTCATCCAAACGCTGAGTTACTACCCCGAAAAAAGTCATCCATCACATTGTCCCCTCCGGCAAAAGGAGATGGAAGCGGGTCCCTTCAGTTCCCGCGTGACGTTACTGTCGGCCTTCAGAAGTCGTTGAGGATACCGATGTCGGCGAATTCGTTGCGGTAGCGGTGGGACGACAGAGCGAGCAAGAAGGACCACTTGAGGCTCATGAAGCTCCAAACACAAGATAGGTAGAGACTATGGGGGTCAGTCAAGGCTGCAGGTGAGAGAAATATTACGTTGTCACTCATATTATGATGGACTGATGGAACAGAATCATCCATCCATTTATTTATTTCCCATAGCTTGTGTCTTCATTGGGGCCGCCGGTGAGTTCGAGCCTAACCCAGATGACTCGGCGAAAAGCGAGATTGGACACTGGACAAGCACGGGAGGACAAGTAAACTCCCAAAACCACTATTCCACCGCGCTGCCCGTGACAGAATCAAATAGACATCTGAATGTAGTGGAATGCGATTTTCAAAATGCAAAGGCTGCAAATTGGGGGGGTAAAAAATGCTAATCTCTGTCTTGGCCTTCCTGTGGGAAGTCTGCATGTTCTTCCTATGCTCTGAGTGTGACTGGCTTAAGGATGTTCCAATTTAGAGGTTCCAAACAAGAATTCTGAGTATTTGATACTCAAAACCTCGGCACATTTCACACATACTCCAACATCCTTGCTACACGACAAGAACAATGATTGGTAACTCACACTCCTCATTGTGGACGGCAATCGACAGGAAGGTGATGAAAGCAACAACCGCGAGCAGAGAGAAGAATACGCCGACGAAAAAGAACAACTTGAGCCCCTTGAGCCAAGTCCTCCAGTGGTCCTGCAGGTACATGATGTGGGTCAGCAGGGTCCACAGTGCCAGCACACCTCATGGGAAGAAGAAAAATATTATAATTCTCTTTGAGGGCACTCATTGAAACACAATCGAGTGATTTCTTAACTTACGCAGGAACTCCATTATTGTGACCAAAAAAGAAAAAAGAAAAATGAGAGCAAGAGCCTCAGATGCACGTTCAGTTCTTCATTGAATGGGACAAATAGTCACATGCACAAAATAGAAAATGAAAACACACACAAGGAGCATGGAGCAGAAGCTAACGCTAAACTAAGCCCTTGCCAAACAGCCAAGTGGAGCTCCTGAAGCTGTTATTAGGTTGGATTAATTGATTAGTTCTGTGTTTGATGTAGTCTTTTATTGGCAGTCCTTGTGCATAAGAGAAAATGAATGTGGCTACTAAATGAATTTTGTTGGTGTTTTATGATTCGCTCTGTGTTATGTGATGCCGCCATCTTGTGCCATCTGTGCGCAAATGCAAAAACCTGTTGGGGACAGAGTGTAAATTATTTGTGTATTTTCATTCTTCACAGTAGGGCCCCTGTTCACTAGTCACTGTTATGAAAAATTGTCTTAAGTGGGGTCAAGGTAACTCACCACCCTGGCGACATTGACCTTTTTTTGTATACAGTATTTTGCATTCAATTTTGCCTCAAGCGCTTCAACACAGAATTCATCAGCAATCAGTAAAATATACTCAGTTACTACAGTATACCGATCGCTTGTGAAAAGCACATTTCAAGGGTTGTGTTTATCTCAATGTCCATGGCCACATTGTGTCTAATGTTAAATAATAACTGACTGACAGGACAAACCCAGGCAAGTTCCTATGATCGGATGAAATCAACAGTGCTGCACAATTATGGAAAGGAAAAAAAGAAAAAAAAATGCAGGCACAGCTGTTTAAGGGTTCATGTATAACAACTGCAAGATTGGGATTTTTTTTTTTTAATCCTTGTGATCACACCATGACTTGGCAAGTTTCCACAAGCTGAGTCAGTTAAGCACACTTCTTTTTTTTCCCGTCAGTCACAGTGAGGGTTTGCCAAACTAAGGGCTCCCGGTGTTTGTCTTGGGGATAGGGTTAAAAGGTAAATCAATGATCCACAAGTGAAGTGGATCACAACACGGTGAAGCTTAATACAAGACATGGGGAGAGCGGAATTTTCACTAAGGCAATTACAAACCTAATCTAAAAGCTCAAAGGTCACATCCACGGATCCACTTGCACAAGCCAAATGACTTCAAAGTGGTTGTGTCCGCCGGGACATGAAAAACGGCATTTGGAAAACGAGTAAAAACGAATAAACGAGTCATAAAAACAACAAAAAAAAGGTGAATATAAAAACAAAATCGGAATACATAAAGGAACTAATAGAAATGGGTGTACAGTATGAGGCAGACACAAACATGTAAAGCAATATAAGGAGGAGAATTCTTTTATTATCTATATATTTTGGGGGGGGGTGATTACCCCCCCCCCCTCACCGCAAATGAATTTCAATGAGCGTCAATTGGAAGCAGATTTTAGCTATTCGTGGGTTAGAGAATAGGGACAAGGCCGTCTTTTTTTTTCAATAATCTCAAAGAATTCTGAATTTTTTTTTTTATACATGTCAGCTTGTGGTACTTCCATCATAAATATATAAACACATTAATTAATTCTACTATTGCATTTTTTTATGCCAAATGTGGTTGACTAAATTAATACAAAGCATTTTATGTCTTTCCGCGTTACAATGTCTTGCTCGACTTACATTGAAGTTATTTTTGCACCACAAACCTCATCAAACAAGTGCCTGAAAACAGAAAGACAACTTTCTGCATCGAAATGCATCATGCGAGAGCTGCTTTTCTAGTGAGCACTGTTGCATTCTACTTTTTTTTAAGATGCCTAGTGAGATTACACATTCAAACACTTTCAGAATGCTTAATTTGCAATGGTTCACCGCTCCACTTTTTTTTTTTTTTTTTTTTTACCTGACAGTCCTCCCATGGCTGCTGTCCACGGCTGTCGGTACACGACGTTCCACACTAAAAAAGCAGACGTCCCGATGAGCACGCCGAACGAAGCATAGCCGACGCTCACGTACGTTTTGTTTACGGCCATGTTAACGACAACGCGTGAAGAGATTTTAGAAAACAAAAAGGAGGCTAACGAGTTGGAAGACAAAAGGGGGACTGTTGCTGTGCTGTCATACACGAGAAGCCTCCTCCTCCTCCTCCATGGCAGAGCGTTTACAATTGGATGTTTATCTTGTGGCCAGTTTCAAATGGAACGTGTCCGCTGTACGTCAGCAGGTTCGAACTGTTATGCGAGCGCAGCGACCTCTTGGGGGCGCCAAAGGAAACGCAGTTCCCGTGAGAATCATTTCCATTCTTCAAATACCAAGTACAGTACAACATCATTCAACCTAACAACACGGATTTACAGTCAAACAAGAACAAATAAAAACGTCGTGTTTGAGGTGTGCTGTCAGATGTGACTGTAAGCTTATGTTATATTATCATCATTTTATGTTTGAGCATCATATTATTTCATGTTAAGATGACAGAAACACACAAAGTATCAACTTCAGCCATTATAGAATATTTAATTACGAATGAAACATTGTTTAAGTTGTAATTTAGTACAGTACACGTATCTCTTAAATGGTGTCTATTTGAGATAGGCTATTTCAAATTTGTCCTGTAAATTTTAACCAGAAAATGTGTCCTACATCCCAAAAATTTTTTTAAACCACGAGCACTGTATTATGAAATCATGGCACATTAGTATGAAATAATTTCAAAAAGATTAAGGATAACTTTTGAATGATCATCATTTGCCGTGTGCTGATTGGATAGGAGAAAGCTCACGGTTCGAGTGAGGCCCACAATTAAACTAGAGTGAAGATGAACAGGAAACAATGTAAAAAGAGGCAAACGTGTACTCGACCTGATGCACGAGGAGTGATGACGACTTACAGAGACGTGCTATTGGCAATTTAATTGTGCATAAAAAGACCCAAGACCCCAACTGTCCCTCGATTTCTGCAGTAGGAATGTTGCACAAACATCCTCCATATGCCTCTTCACAAAGTTCCTCTGCCACTTCTCTCTGGTCCTAAAGTCATTGCAGTTTACTGGAGGGGGGGTCAGAACCACGGCGTGTTTGTCCACCCCAAGGTCCATGACACCTTGTGTTTACCATTTCAAGAATTGCTCCCTTCAATCCGGTTTTCGGAATAGTACACGTAGAGGAGTAGTTTGACTTGGCAGTCCCGACCGGCATGATCCCAGATCAGCAGCGAGGCCAACTTGTCTCCTGGGAAGGCGTCTCTTGCCCTGTGATGTCGGCCCTCTTTGGCGTTCAGGTCTCTGGACAAACACTTATCAGGGGAGAAAACGCTGAATATCAACGACGTTTTGAAATTCGTCTTCAAATCTTTTGGCGTCTTCTTTTCCCGCCCTGGCAGCCTCCCTGGGTCGGAGCACACCATGGATTCCGCTTCTCTCCTTAAAATTAACAAACCACCCCTTGCTAGCCTTGAATTCCTCGGCACTTCTCCCGGGGTCGTCTCGGGTCAGGGCGTTATGCAGCTCCCTTGCCTTGTCACAAATTAGGGTCTCTGACACGGTGTCGCCCCGCAACTGTTTGTGAGTAATCCACTCAAGCAGAACTTTTTCCACTTCTTCCACTTTGTCAGTTCTTCTGCTGCTGAGTGTTTTGACCCCTTTTGCCACATCCGCCGCTTTGATGGCTTCTTTTCTCTTCAATATGGTCGATACCGTCGACTTAGCCATATTGTACTGAACAGCCAGGTCCGAGACGCGCGTACCTCTCTCCCACTTGGCAATAAGTTCCTTTTTCAGTGCTATGGTTGTCATCACAGTTTTCCTCTTTGGCTTGTCATCCAGGGTACCCTTCTGTGGTGACATGTGGGATAGGTATCACACACAAAAAGATCATGAAAATGAAAACACACACACACACACACACACACACACACTTTAGAATGTATCCTTGAGATGCTCAATGAAATGCCTCAGCATGTTTCGGCATGTATGTCAACAGTTAGGGTTATGGATTTTTGTCCAGCCTTCAAATTGTATACAGTATTTAGTTTATTAGCCTTGCAAACTGGACTTCCAAGGGTCCACTGTTTTTTTTAAAAGAAACATTTTTAAGAGACCTCTGGAAAATGTATTTACTGCTTATACTATCCAGTGGTGTCCCTCCAGTCAAATATATATGCAACATATTTTAAGTCAAAAAATAAAAAACAATAAATAATCAGCATCATGATTCATTATATTGCAATATAAATTCCGCTATACACAAGACTTTTCAGGGATGGGGGAGAATGAAGATCGACAACGTGAATTCAAGATTTATTGTATGATTTATCAACTTGAAATTCAACAAGCCACCACTTTATGATATGATATGCAGAAAAACACATTCTTCACAAAATTTGGCAGTATGTGCACCGCAGATGTACTTTTGGCAGTTTCTGCATGTGGTTTGTGTCTTTGTGTCCTTCAGCGGTCCACACACCTCACAGCGCTTCCTCTTTCCACCAGCTGCAACCTAGAATCAAAAATAAACAACAGATCAGGATGGGTCAGGATTGATTTTATTTATTTCTGAACCCCCAACCCGCCCACCCACACACACACCACGCAATTCACACACAGGACACTTACTTCAGAAATTTGAGGCTGTGGTCATGTGAAGGTGTGGAGGTGAGACCACTCCCACCTGCCTGAATTGTGGCTAGAGAAGTTGTTTTTGTGGGACATGTCCCTTTGGCGGTGTGGTGTTCCTAGATTCTTATGGAAAAGGTTTCTTCTTTGGAGTTTCCCTTGGTTCTAGTCAAAGTCCCCTTCCGGTAGATGCTTTGCAAGGTGAGACATCCAGCAAAATAGAAAATATCACAAGCCGCCACTGAAACGTTCTTCTTTGACAGGAATAGCAGGCCGGCAGCTTCTTTTATGTCGTCGATCCCTATTGTTGTGGTGTAGTGATGGTCCTTCCACCTATTTATTGTTCCATTATTGTGTAGCGTGCTTGTGAACTTTTTTTTTAATTACTTTTTATTTTGTTATAAATCAGGACAGTGTTGGCTGTGAACATAACTTTGGAGGAATATACCGTCTTATTCTTCACGCTCAGTTCCTCAGACGGGGACTCCATTTTGGTTTTTTTTAACCCAGATTTTTCAAACATTTCGAAATTGACTTTTGAGAAGCTCCTATAATTGACATGTTCCTTGCCAAAAATGAAAAGACATCGATAGCAACCAAGATTTTGACGCCTTCTCTTGCTGTTTAGAGAGCATAAACCCGCTGGTCCCACTGGTTGCCAACTTGTCTCATCTTCAAAACAGTCTTGGTTCCTGATTGTCAAATCAAATGTCCCATGAGCAAAAATGGAAGCTGCTCGGAGTGATTTTGGCTCTAGAAATAACCTTCCCCGCCTCAGCATCCCACAGACTTGCAGTTAACGCCCCTCTTGACCTGGAGACACCAACAAGGACGAGGATGCCAAAGTAGGCATGCAAGATACACGATGTTCTCCTCCTTTCCCTGCTGCCCCAAAAACTCAAAATTGGCCACACCCAGAATCAGATTCCAAGTCAAAGGATGAATTGATGGCTGGAGCATCAAAGCAAATCGAGCACATCCGAGAACTTTTGTATTATGTTAGCAAGTGAGTGCAGTTTGGACGCGGACATTCCAGCGACTGGCTCTTGGGTTCCTCTGGCCATCACCTGTGGTGCTCCTCCTTGCGATGTGTATTCCAAGTGAATCGTCAAATTTTACTTTCAGAATCACAATTCCGGACTCCGAACCGATTTGTAAATGGATCCTCGTATTTCGAGACACCTTTCACATTGTTGTGGATCCGATTCTGACATTTTGGAGCTATTTCAGACCTTGATGCTGCAATATTTTTGTTCATGGTTATCATACCGTTAGAATCTAATATCAGCCCGTGCCTACTTTTGCAGGTTTTCTTCTTGCACATTTGCAAAATCACACAAAGGTTACATGACCATAATCTTAGAAACAAACAATGAAAGTTTACCTTTTTGAGGGGCATTTTTAGACGCTCCTGAAGTAGCAGGTCTTGGTTTGTGATTTCCCCACTCGTGCTCGGCTGAGCGAATTCTTTGGCTGTGTAAAATTCTTGTTCTTTGGGATCAATTTTAGGACAATCCATTGTGACGCCACTGTCTGATGCGCTCTCTCGTTCTAGTGCAAACCTTCTATTGTATTCTGTTTGCTGGCCAATAGGGTCATTGGCCAATAGCTCTGACTCTTTGGTTTGCTTGCATCGAGGTATATCAGGCAATGGCACAGATCTTTCAACTGCAGATGTCTCTGACAGTCCCGTTTGCTCTGATTCTCCTATTGCAGATGACACTGGTACTTCTGTTTGTTCTTCTTTACCTGTATTAGCAAATGGCTGCAATACATTAGCCCGTGGCTGAGTATGCATCATTTTAGATCTTTTGGTTTTTGTCTCTGCTCCCTTCTCCTCTGGAATGTTCAATTCAGGAATTTGCTCTTGCACAGGCGTAGACATCCTAGCCAGTCTTTTGTGATCTTTTGGAAAAAACAAACAAACATCACACTTTACATTGGGTATAAGAAGTTGAGAAAATCTCCAACACAAAAAATATATAATTTCAAGATCTATTGAGGGAAATTGACTTGCTGAATTGCTTGTATAGAATGTCTATTGAGTATCAGCCCACCCATTGAGCGTGAAAATATATAATCATGCACATCTTTTGTGAGCTGCCTATATTCAAAAAAGGTGCGTGTGACTGAGCCAATCTTAATGTTGGTAGTTGTGCTGTCCAAAAAAAAAAAAAAAAGACTACACTGAGTTCTCCACCAATGACAGCTGGGCGAAAAACAATCTGGAGGTTCGCATGCGTTTGACAGTCTACACTAGTGTTTTTGTTGTTGTTGTTGTTATTTATTTAACGTTGTTACACAATCAGAAACTACAAGTGAAACGCGAATAACCACAAAACAAATAACTTTTAAGGCTCAGAAGGAAAGTAGCGAAATCGCTACTTCGGGAGACTTTTCTCTGCAGACTACACAGTTATTATTATTTGACCCCATTGTTCAAATGCTGAATATGAATGTTAAAATTTACAAACCGATGTTGGTTATATTCCACCGGGGGTTTATCTCATTGTTCAGTAAGGAGCGCAGACAGTCGTTCTCCTCTTGGTATCCTTTCACAATGAGCGCCACTTCTTGAAATATCTCCATGGCCAAGCTGGTAAAACGTTCGGTTAAATGAATCTGGAACGCATGCATTTGGCTGACAGTCGACATGTCGGAAACAATGAAATGCAATGCAGCAACAGCGGTTTTGTCTTTTTGCATCCAAGGAGCTCCAACGTAATCGACGACAAAGCGAAACAAGAGACAACCCGGAAAAGAAAACAAGATGCGACCCCCGTTTCCGGTCAACTTTGCATCTTATGCATTTATTTTTTTAACACTGCGCGGTTTCCTGGCCAGAGACATAACATCTAAAAATAAAAGTATTTTACTGTTGTCAATCCAGGCCAGTTTGTACTCGAAAAGACGAAGTGAAGCAAACCTTCACAAAGATGGTCAACTCAAGATCACTTGAGCTGAACAGAGTTGATGGATGGATAGCTGTGAGACCCTCTGCCGGGCAAATTAAGTATTACATGTCAACTCCTGAACACTTACGGCTCGGCAAAGTTTGCGGGTTTTTTTTTCCCAATAGTTTGTTTGATAGTTTGGTGATAATTTGGGGGATCAAATAACTATCTTTACGGAAAAATTACTGTATATTGGAGCTTTACCGACAGGTTTTGTCAATATTAGCTTGGCCTCAAAAAATGATAACATTTTCAAGACTTCAGTTACTTTTTAATAAGGTTGTTGTTTTCAATAAAAATCAGCCGCGATACACAACACTGCGTGAGCATATACGAAACACTAAAACTAGTTTTAACTGACTTTGGCCAAAGAATCCATCCATCTATTATCCGAGCCGATTATCCACACGAGGGTCGCAGACATGCCGGAGCCTATCCAAGCTGTCGATGGGCAGTAGACGGGGCACACCCTTAACTTTTGAGAGTTCCATTAACCTGCCATGCATGTTTTTGTATTGTGGGGGGAAACCGAAGTACCAGGAGAAAATCCACACAGGGACAGGGAGCACATGCAAACTCCACACAGGAAGGATGGAGCCGGGAATCAAACCCTGTATCTCTGCACTGTAAGACGGTCATGCCAACCAGTCGACACCGTGCCGCCTGGGCAACATTCAACGAAATAGTCAAGCGTAATACAAGTGACCACAAAGCAATGGCAAAAATGTTCCATGTGCAAAGGTAAGTGAGGTCCATGCACCTGCCATTAAACAGACAAGCCATCCAAAACGGGTCAAGTCTATTTATTCGATAAGCAAAATTAACACAAAAAAAAACCCCAACGGCTATGCACTGTTAAAATCGTCAAAAAACATAACTTCAGAAATTAGTCATAGTGAAATCAATAATACTCACTATATGTTAATGACTGGCACAGGTTACATGGGGTACAGGTACAATAGCACAAACAGGCAAGTGGGGATTGGACTTGGAATAGAATTGGTACTTGTGAATGATACGATGCTTTTTTTTTAACTTATATTAATAAATAACATTTAAAATCTGAACTAAAATGTTTTTACAACAATATTTGTCAACTGAAATCGTACATCCAAATCTTGAATGTTACATCTAAATGCTCTCGCTCTCTCTCTACATCAGGATATAAATGTTAACTCACAATGCAAAATATACAGTATATCTAAAGCTTAAATACAAATCTTAAATACAAATATAAATGTTAAATCTAATGTTTTGGGTGGAACAGAATATTGAACAAAGATGTAAATCTAATTGCAGATGACCACTAGTACAAAAAAATAAATGATTAAGGTTTGTGTCAATAAGGTATAAAATCATTGTATCCTGAGAAATAAACTCTTGGACATAGATTATAATAACAAGAACTATTGTGTATAAGTGTACATATAAATTATATCGCCTACAGCCCCTCCTCCAGCCACCACTGATGTGGCTACGTTGTGGCTGGTCAGGGAATATGCATCAGATCAAACTGACCTGTAGAAATACAGGTACCAATTGCAATTCCACTGTACAATTTTGTGTGTAGTGGATTTGCACGGCATAATCTTTGAGATTATAAAGATATGCCAAGGGCAGGATCAACTGGGGAGGAGGAGGGCTCGATTGGGTGGACGGACACGGAGGCAGACGTGCCACGGCCTGTTACTCGCTTAGCCAGAGTCGAACGGTGAGGAGCAGACAACGAGGTTCATGAAACTCGGGCGTTGGACTGCCCACTTCCATCGCTCGAGGGGTGTTCATCATCCATTTTGTCAAATTTCCAATCAGAAATGTTGTAAAGTACAGTATCACTCGACGGCTGACACAAGTGGGGTAGGCGAAGTAGTATTGGTGTCATAGTATCAAATATTTTTTTTGAAGACAAGATGTACAGTATTGCCACGGTCACCGATACCAGAATCAGTATCAATTCATGCCGAGCGACGTTATATGTGGTCTTAAAGGGTTAGGTTTCTCCCTGACGCCACCTCAAAGTACCTTTGTGAGGCTTCTGCTCAAATTTTTCTGAGTGTTAGCTGTTACTTCGTCGTGTACTCTAACACTTTTTAAACCATTGCTTAAGGAGCTGATTGGCAAATGGCCTCAACATGACAGCAAGCATCATTTTTTCCGAATGGTACAAAAGCAGTAGTTTGATTTCACAGTTCCCCGAACGGCGGTCAGGCCAACTTTTATAGGAATTCTCTGCCCTGTGATGTTGGTCCTCTTTGGCATTCAAGTCTCTTCGCAAAACTTGTTAACTTATTCAGTACCAGCCAATTCTGGACCAAGTCTGAAAAGACATTTAAAAACGTCATTGGGAGTGAATGAGTTAAGGGAGAAAACCCTGGCTGCAGACGAAGTTTTGAAATTGATCCTCAATTCTCTCAGCGTCTTCTTTTCCAGCTCTGGCAGCCTCCCTGGTTCTGAGCACCCCGTGGATTCCACTTCTCTTTTTAAATTTGCAAAACCACCCTTTACTAGCCTTGAATTCCTCAGCACTGCTCCCGGGGTCGTCTCGGGTCAGGGCGTTATGCAGCTCCCTTGCCTTGTCACAAATTAGGGTCTCTGACACGGTGTCGCCCCGCAACTGTTTGTGAGTAATCCACTCAAGCAGAACTTTTTCCACTTCTTCCACTTTGTCAGTTCTTCTGCTGCTGAGTGTTTTGACCCCTTTTGCCACATCCGCCGCTTTGATGGCTTCTTTTCTCTTCAATATCGTCGATATAGTCGATTTAGCCATATTGTACTGAACAGCCAAGTCAGAGACGCGCGTACCGCACTCCCATTTGGCGATGAGTTCCTTTTTCAACGCTATCGTCGTCATCACGTTTTTTCTTTTTGGTTTGTCTTCCCGGATGCACTTCTGTGGTGACATTTAGGACAAGAATAACACAAAATGATAAAGACAACATTAGAAAACAAAGTAGACTTTAGCAGGCAAAACAGCAATTTGTGTTCTGGATATGTGTCTGAACTCAGAACCATACATTTGTCAAAAGTACTTCTTCAACTGGTTAGCCCATCCCCATTTTCCTTGTCACTCCTAAGATAATGTTTGCGTTGATTTGTTCATTTAGAATAGACTGTCCCTAAATTATCCATCCTTTTTCTATACCGCTTATCCTGACTTGGGTCACGGGTGCGCTGGAGCTTATCCCAACCTGACTTTGGGCAAGAGGCGGGGTACAGAGCATTTAATTGTCCTGGCTGTGAGTACAGTATATGTTGTTGCTGTAGATAAATACACAAAAACACATTATCTGTAGGAAATGCATAATTGTTGGACCAATTGAGTGAAATTGAAAATAATTTTCCACAGCACACATGATGCTCCTTCACGTGCCATATCACACAAGTTGGGAATCACTTTTTAAACGAATGGGTTTGATAGTTTTGCATGAGTGAAGTCACAGCACTCTGCCATGTCAATCAAAGAGCAACTATTTTGTAGTGGAAAACAAAAGGATCTGAGTTGAGTCAAGCAAAGTCAGAACTGTCCAAAAGAAAAGTGGCAAGATGGCTCTCTTGAAAATGTATCCAAATTAAACCAATCCTAACAGAGACAAAGAATGACAAACACGTCTACCTTTTTGTATGAGTGTTTCAGAGATTCGTGGTATCTCAGGTCTTTCTTAGTGATTGCGTCACTCCGGGACCGATGAGAAAATTCCGGGGTTGTGCTGAAGTCTCGAAAAGCAACAGTGTGGAGTGAGGTAGCGATGTCAAGCCTCCCAGCGCTTTCTTCTTTGAAATCACTTTTAAGACGGCCCGTTTTGATGCCATTTTCCATTCTGCTCTCTCGTTCTGTTGCCAGCCATCTAGTGTACTCAATTTCTTGTTCATTGGCCAGCCGCTCTGATACTTCCATTGCATAAGACACTGATATTTCAGTTTGTTCCTCTTTAGGTGCATTAGCCAGCAGCTCTGAGATATTTTTGTCCTCTTCGGGTATATTGGCCGTTGGCTCCAATAACTCAGTCTGCTCCATTTTTGGTACTTTAGAACTTCGCTGTAATTCTGTCTCCAAAGGAGTGTTCAGCCCATATGCTTGTTCTCTGAGAGCTGTAGTTCGTCTAGGGAATCGACCGTGATCTATGGAGGGAGAGAAAAGATTGGTTTTTACTTAGTGTTATCATAATGGCCAACATGGCCCTCGCTGTTGGCCTAAGCACTATCAGAAACACTACATTTACGGCCTAAATTTTACCACTTGTTCCATTAAATTGTTTTGCTTTATCCCCAACACTCTTGATTTCGTAGTGTTTCTCTTGGCTGCACTTCCAAATGAATGTATCATTTTTTTTTCCATCAATCAGATTTCAGCATCTTTGTGTTGTCATGTCCATGTAAAATGACCAGGGTCTTCAGAGTTAGTAAGGCCAGTATCACTTAAAATACACCAACAATGGGACTATTTCTTTGGCGGGTCAGATTTTTAAAAACGTGCCCTCCAAAGGTAAAGCATACAAGCCCTCAATGACATCAGATTTGTCTGTCCTCTTCATTGGTTGGTCAGAGCAAAACTTTATACAGCCAACAGGGGCTACGACCACAAAACTTCGATACCTTTCTGCACACACGAATACAGTGATGTTTTGCCATGTTGTTAGATACATTTTGATTCTGGAGTACTCCAAATTATGTTTAGTTTTAAGAGAACTATTAAATCGGGTAAATGCTGACTTAATGAGGTGTTAAATGCACGAGCCACCCCAATCTCTTTATTCCCAAGAAAATTAACATGTGCTCACAAAATATTACATTTTTATGAAAATCCACACGCGATTGTTATAAAAGAAGGTAATTTTAATATGCACCGTATAAATGGAAATACTGCAAGTAATTTGTAACTAACAGTAATACAAACCAATTTTGGGTGAATTCATCTGCACGTTTATCATTTTGTTCAGTAAGGATCGCAGACGGTCGTTTTCCTCTTGGTATCCTTTTACAATATGCGCCACTTCTTGAAATATTTCCATAGCGACGCTGGTGAAACGTTCCGTTATTCGGCTCTGAAACGCGTGCAGCAGACCAGCGGTCGACATGTCGAAACCGAACAATGAAATAGTATAACTATGACATTTGTGCTCTTTTTTAAACATTGACAGCAAGAAACGTCGACGAAAACACGAATATAAAAAAAATGATAAACCGGAAAAAGAAAGTCCTGACGTTTCCGGTTGGTTTTACACTGAAACTAAACATCTTTATTTGATTTTGAATTGTTTATGCAATCTGAAAAAATAATTTTACATGCGCTATTGTGTTGTTTCCATAACTACTTGAAATTTGCAAATGAAAAACCACAGATACAAGCACCTTGAGTTCTCATGCGTACGTTGAAGTCGCGCCATATTGGAAGTGGCGGTGGAGCGATTGGTGTCGGTACTTCATGATGTCCATCCATCCACCCATCCATCCATCCATCCATTTTCTAATCCATTTATACTCACAGGGTCGCGGGTGTGCCTGAGCCTATCCCAGCCGTCATCGGGCAGTAGGCGGGTTGCCAGGCAATCGCAGGTGCACACAGCTCACAGTCACACCTCGTGACAATTTAGAGTATTGCATTAACCTACCATGCATGTTTTTGGAATGCGGGAGGAAACAGGAACACCCGGAGAAAACCCACACAGGCACAGAGAGAACATGCAAACTCCACATCGGAAGGCCGCAGCTGGAATCGAACCCTGCACCTCTGCACAGTGAGGCTGATGTGAAGTCACCACCATGGCGCCCTACCTCATAATGTGTTGCATGGAAATGTATGAGTCCTGTTACAGTCAACGTCATCCATAGTTTGTCGGATTTTGACTTTATCATTATTTTGCATTGTATTTGGTCATCATGTCATTTTCTGAACACAACTTGCTGAATTTGGAGCTAATACTCAGAAATTGCAAGCGAAACACTGAAAATGCAAAGAACGTGGATAGTTTCATGAGATCGCAATATATATTTAAATATTTCTTACTTTGGGTAATAATGCTGTTGTTTGCAAATCTTTTTAACATTTTAAATCCTTTTTTTTTTGCTTGCAAATCTTTCTTTGGTTTGAAAATAATGTGTGTGACTTAAAATCATTTTTTGACTGCATAAAAAGAAACACATTTCTCTCCCTGTCACGTCTATCTTGAATGAAAGAGTGCCTAGGGGGCGCCCGTGAGTCACCCCGTTTAGCAGCCACCACGGATTCACTCAAGCAAAAGAAGAGTAGGCAGTGGGCAGGCTGTTGCTGGTGACAGCCGCCAGGCGAACTGAACCGCTCCCCCCTTCACATCGAACTGATAAGGAGAAGACATTACGGGACGCTTCCATGGGCATACAGCCCTGTGCTCACCGAGAGCACGGTTTTAAACGTTTAGCTCGCCCGGGTGCCAATCGTGCATTCACTTAGGCTTCGAGTTTTCCAGGTAACGTACGTTACGTTAGCTTCGGCGTTTTTAAACGACACAAGCGCGTCGCCTGTCAAGATAGTATTAACAAGACTCAGAGAAAGATGGGCGACATAAAGCCGTCGACGTCTCCTGCTTTCCAGTCGGAGGTAAGTGAAAGTTGATTGCAATAACTCGTCGTTTGGGCTGTGGAGTTGTTTTTGCTTCATTGCTAACGACGCCAGCGAATGTCAACTTGCTGGCCGCTTGTCACCGCACTGTTAGCTTGTAATGCTCTTGACAAATTGTTGTAACATGAATGTGATCAACTTGCTCACGGTGATTTTTGCATTCGCTCTCACCGTCCGTCGACTCACACACTTTTAAGTGTCCTCTTATACGTGCAAGAATGGTCTCCTCGATTTACTCCTGAACATACTTTGGAGGGATTGTTAACGTGCAATCGATTGGAAAACATTCCATCATCATCATCTTCATCATCATCACCATTGCTAACATGCTAACGTGTGCTAAGTCAACGCAATGTTAGCGAGACCCGACTGCAAAGTCCGCTCGGAAACAAACCATCGCTAATCATTTCGACAGCCTTACTTTTGGGAAGGAAAGTAAATAAATAAAGCCCCCGACGTTGCTTTGTTATGGTTCACTCTCCACCGTTACTAGCCGTGGCTAGCCTCACAGTCGTCTGTTACTGCTGACTGTCCATTGCTAGCCCACATTTGTTGTCTCTGACAGTTACGTCTAATAGTGGGGGTTGGTAGGATTGCCCACAAGACACTTAAAAGGCAAATACAACCGATTTTCCCCTACGGTACATTTATTTTCAACCAAAGTGCGTTGTCGTCACGTTATCTATCGTTTCGGATGACTGTTGCTCATTCGTGCGATAGTGGCACACTCACGCCAAGGAGCATTAAGAGACTGTGTCAACCCATCGGTTAACCGCAGAAGTAGTGGCTCGAAGCTAATCAGTGCTGGCAAAAGTCCTCACACTCTGCCTTCGTTGAGGAGAAAAATGGCAAAAGTAAAGTAAAAAGTACAGAATGCATGGCCGCTCCTGGTTAAGATGTGTAAAAAAAAAAAACAACTTAAAATCAATTACATTTGTATTGCAGTAGCATACTCTCATACTAAAAAAATGAGACATGGTTCACGAGACACAGAATCAAGCTCATCCCATGCCCATCTCATTATCCAGATCTCAACCCCATTGAATACTTGTGGAGTAAGCTAAAGAGGATCGTGCAAAGTAGAGTACCTAGGTCGTTGGATGTATTCTCCCATCTTGTTTTGTGCTGTTTTGTTTGCAAAAAGTATTAACAAAATTTGTGGAACACACATGAATTTGGTGTGAAATAATTACCAGTATTTCTTAATGTGTTTTGTTTTTTTTTCTCCCGTGAATAAATGCACTTCAATTCAAGGCTGAATTTTCCTCTTTATTTTATTACCGGTAGTTATTCTGGAAAAAATGAATTTACTCGGAGCTAAAGAACATATATTTCCCGGGGGATGCCAATAATTCTGGAAGGGGAGTATAAAGTTTGTGGTCTCATTACTTGTATGTACCGCTCAAATCATACTAGCCGGTGTTTAAACAGCAATTGTGTTACCAAATCTTCCTTTAGCTTTGCCAATAAAAACTCAGTCAAATAGTCAAATTAGCGAACGATAGCCGAAAAAAATACATCTTATTGTATGTTTTTTTTTCTGATGAAACTATGACTTTGCAAAGCTTGTACTGTTTAGGATGCCACAAGACGCTACACATTTTCCACAAATCATAGGAGTAGTTAACAGTATGAAATCATTGTCTTAATTAAGGCTAAGGCCATGGATGAGGCACACACTCGTATGACTAAGTACAGTATCCGGAAAAAAAAAATACCCATGCAATAGGGTGATATGTGAAACAACGAGGCAACCACACTGCCTGCAACTACTTCTCACCACTGGACCTAACCTACATTTCTCTGTGTTCCAGGGCTTCAGTCCACCCTACAGGAAGAGGAAAAGGACAGTGGAAGATTTTAACCAGTTTTGTACGTTTGTTTTGGCCTATGCCGGTTACATCCCATATCCCCAAGAGGTAAGTAAGGCTCAAACTAATATCTTTGGTCAAATTCAGTCCAAAACAATATACAGGGTAGGGCTGGGCAATTACGTACTGGGTTTTATCAGTCAAGATAAATTTTCTTTTGTGGTTTAAGTAGTTCAAAGCACATCGTGACAGACATGCACACAACAACATGGCCAGAATATATTTAAAGGTATTACCGTTCAATTCATTCAGGAAAATTGATTTGATATCTTACTAAATTTGAGTTACAAGCATAGTCATGGAACAAAATCCTGTATTCCTACATACTGTACCGACTCGGTTTGCCACGGTCCCAAAAAAAAAAAACAACAAAAAAAAAAGCGGAATTTTTTTTTTATCGTTTACAGAACTCTTCACTGCGAAGTACTTCCAGTCCTCCCAACAGCACCGGAAGCACAGTTGATAGCGACGGATGGACCCCGGGGCCGTCGCCATCTTGTCCCCAACATCCCTTCATGGTCCCCCTGGAAAGGAACAGAAACCATCCACAACTCGGGGCCACATTGTCCAGTCACATCAAGAAAGATGTGAGTTGAGTTTGTAGTCTAAGCCAGGAGTGAGGAACCTTTTTGCTTGCAGAGTGTCGTCCGTCCAATCCATTCACCCACCCCCGTCTATTCACATATATTATATACCCCTGTATATATTATGAGCTTTTATGCTTTCAGGCTTTTTTAGTTTTTTACAATTTCCTGCTGGCGCATATATGATCCACAAACTTTTGGTTCCCAAACCCGCGATCTACGAAACCAAGTTATAAATAACCTCTGAATTTGACCGAAATGTTCTTCCTTTGCACAGCACACGTTCACCAGCCTGCATCCGGAGGATCGCAGGAAAGCCGAGAAGCTGAAGAAGAAAAAAAGGAGAAAGGAGAGGGAGCTTCAGGCCACTGAGGAACATGGCCAAGCTAACTCGCCCGACCCGGGACTACCGCCTCCGTTCCCCTTCGGCGACTTGCCCATAAAAGAGGAGCCGGAAGACGACATCAGCATTCCGCTCCATCCTCAGCACGTCACCAACCCGTCCCAGTGCAAAGAGGAGCAACAGCAAGAACGGAGCCAGTGGGACGGACGGGATCTGGAAGAAGGCGTGGTCAAAGTACAGAAAGTGGAGGGCCTTTCTGGAAGCAGAACGGTGTTCCGTCAGGGCAAGCAGGTGGTGTTCCGAGACGAAGATGGGTCGGGGGAGGATGAAGATATCATGGTGGATTCAGGTAAGCACTTTGATAGGGAAAAAGCAGGACATTTAATCTGAATGTGAATGGCAATGTTTAGGCAGCTTAAGCATGTCACCACATTTCCTCCCCCCATGTGGCCTCAGACGACGACTCATGGGACCTGGTGACATGTTTCTGCATGAAGCCATTCGCCGGCCGCGCCATGATCGAGTGCAACAAATGCCACACCTGGATCCACCTGTCGTGCGCCAAGATCCGCAAGAGCCACGTGCCCGAAACGTACGTGTGCCAGAGCTGCCGAGAAAACGACGGACCTGCCGCCGGAGCCGACGCCCGTCGCTCCCACCGCCCTCGCATCGGTCCGCGTAAACACCTGCTAGATTGACCTAAATGCCACTTCTGATCCCTCTGAGGATTTTCCAAGAACACTTGCGGAACTTGAGCAAGTCCCTATACCCCAGCCGGAGTCATTTTAGCTCTACAGATGTGTACTTGTGCTTCCCTACAGACTCTCTGCGTAATGCAATCACTGAAAGGATACTCGACTCACAAACAGTGAGGAGTATCTGGCTTTTGGGTGAAATTTCAGGATCTCCCGAAAATACACGCGAACCGTGACAGGCGACCTTTATTTGACCTTCTGTGTAGTTTTGAATGCCAGCGTGCCATCACAGAATGTTGCCCTTGCGATCCTTGTTGAGGAACAGCAAGTGATGCAAAACGTACTCGACCATGTTAACAGTTGGACGAGCATTCCAAAGGTTAGACGTGATACGAAGTTCACCTGTCCATGTTACGGTCCATTGTAGGCTTACCTCAAAATTTCACCCAAAAGCTGAATATGTAGAATATGTGTCCGTAGATGACTAGAGCATAGCAGCCAACGGCTACAGTTGGGACTGTCGTGTCTTGCGAACACTGGAAGCTGCCATGTCGAGTCCCTCCAACAAACTGCCACCCTCTCTGGTGCATGCAGGGATGTGTCGGAAAGACTTGTTTGCACTTTTTCTCACTTTAAAACAGACCTTTTGACCCTTTTGGCAAACAGATATGGTCAGATGTAACTGGACTTGATTTCTTTTCCTCCCCAAGCGGCCTCCTGTTGGTATGAAATGGTCGTTTTCAAGGAGAAAACAAGTAAAGCCTTGCCGTAATTGTTTCAGATGGTGCTATAGTATTAAGATGATAATCCAATAGAACAAAGATCTAGACTGCATCTGCTTCATCCGTGCTTTTATTTAAGTCCATTGTGGACAAATAGAAGCCCAGAGAGAGGTGGTTCCTTCTCTCTTTCTCCTCTTCTCAAGCTGTCTTCCAATGCCGGATGCTGCGCGTATCGACGAATAGGGAGATGGTTCCGTTCTTTCTTTTCTATCGGTCAAGCATTGTCATTGTTCATCAGTATTTTCACCTTCACTATCAGTTCAGCTGTTTCATTCTTTAAGCTTCCTTTGTTAAATATATTTATGGAAGGGACTGAAGGCCGTTCCGTTCAAAGCTCCAGCAGGAAATGTGATGGTTAGTTGACTGGAATAGTGTTGACATTCTCTCAAGAGTTGATGCGTTTGAGGGAGGAGAGGACGCGGGGAGGACAATGCCATGCGCTGCTATGAAAATATCTGGTTTCTGGTCTTTTATCGTAAGATGGGCATCTGCAAATGTAATCAGCTTTGGTGTCCCATCACTTCCCAGTTTTAACAGCAGTATTCACATACCTTCACCCTCAGCACATTTACTGGGAAAAAGCTTTTTTTTAGGTTTTTTGTTTTGTTTTTTTTTTGCCCCACTTTTCCCCTTTAAACTTGCTGTCATCCGGATGAAGTGTTGTGAACATTTGTGCCATGGACCTGTTTTTTCATCAGTTAAAGAAAAGCCATACTCCAGTGTAGAGTGACATGAAAGGCAAGACTCGGAGACGCAGTTTGTATTCTAGGATGGGGTTTCACAGCACAGTCACAGACTTTGACCGGAGAACGTGTGTGTCTGGTTGGCAAACGGGTGTCTTCTGTTGCTGCGCTGCCAAAAATCAGCCCGGTTGGGATGTTTGCGAAATGACAAGCACTGTTATTTCATTGAGAGCCCTCTTTTTTAAAAAGATCAGTTAGATGTAAAAGTACTATTAACAATGGTCTGCGTGTGATAGAAGTTGGTTTATTCTGATGGGTTGAGTTGTCCACTCCCCTTATTGAGAATGTGTCATGTATACTGTGTGGTGAAAACTGTTTCTATGAAACGAATGTAAAGTATTGTAAATAAAGAGTTACCATTTTATCAATGGTCTTGTTTTCGTTGCTCATGATCCTGCAAAAGTAAGGTTTCCCGACATATCTCATATTAAGCCCCAAATTAAATGGTAATGACATATAACCAGCAGTGGCAGTAGTCCATAAAATTCTGATGATTTGCTCAAAACCAAGTTTTCAGCACTTCAGAATTATATTTATTGTAGTATTTTCATTGAAGTGAGCAGACGGTACACATATTGTAGACTACATAGGGACATTTTGGACGTGGCTTGGAATGTAACAATTAGGGTGCTGTTCTTATACTGGCCTGAGAGTGTCGCTGCAGCGGGCATGAGACGAACACCTGTCAAAATAACTCAACCCGGTCACAAGATTAGTGCACTTGCACACGCCTAACTCCAAAACCGTCACCGCAAGAAAATGTCATTTTAATTGACTTGTCTTTAATTTAATATTGTAATAATATGCGATGTATAAACTGCTGAAAGAAGTGTTCCTTCCCTTGGTCGAGCTCTTGTAAATATTATACATAATACTTTGTAATTCTACCACTGACAATGTCATTCAAAAACACAGCCTTACTATCTTTGAAGAGGTGGAATATATGTCGCAGCTCTTGTATTAGATCTCTTTTGATTGTGCATGTGTGCCTTACCAATCGCAACACATTTTAAAACAAGAAATTGGACAAATACTGGACAACGAACAGAATTTAAGAGTAACAAGAAGGCAAATCAGTATTTAAGTACTTCCACCTAGAACTGGAATTATTTGCAGCATTCAGTCATTTCAGTGCAAAAATATGCAGTATTTTCTATTACAGTCTTGATTATAATGGCAATTATAATCCTTATTATCGTGATCAATTGTTTGAAAGAATGACATTTGATAGAATAGCTCAGAACTAAAGGGCAGTTCTAAAAGTAATATAAGTGCAAGTTCTAAAAGACCAGTTAAAAAAAAAACACGTAACATGCGAAGCGCAACTGAAAGTAGCAACAAGAGGGAAAAACAAGAGAAAATACCATGTGAAAGATAGGACCCAAACGTTATGTCCTGACTTAGCTAACTGTTCGTCATTTAAAACAAAGTACTATTCTGTTCCAGAGGAGATGGTTCCATCTGTACAGAATAACAAACCGTCAGTCTTCAATTCAAGAGTACAATTTTAAATGAAAGTAAACATCACACATTTGCATCAGAGTTTATGTCTCAGTAGCAGCCGAAATGTAATTATTGCTACAACTAAACCACCAACGCCGAACACGGAATCCGAATAAAATCGCATGACCATTTCCCAAAATGGAGAGAGCGGCACCCTCCTGCCCTCCCTGTCACTTCCCTTTCCTTCACACTCTTATTTTTCACACATTTGCACGCAGCGACACCCGACCGCACAGCAGACAAACCAAAAACATGTCGTGACCTTAACAAAAAAGTAACGTTCAGTACAAGCCACCCTATGACTTGATCCAGTTTATATAACAAGGACATCATACTATGTAATACATAATAAATCTTCTGAAGGACAAAGGATCAGTCCAAGTCCACAATGAGGTAAAAGCGGGCTTTTCCTTAAGTGGCTGCGTACTTGACACTCTGGTGAAGCTTTGACCGATCATTGATGGCACCATGATGGGCCCTTCTGTTGAGTGCTACTCTGTCCTTCTTCGGTGGGCAGATGATATGCGAGCTGCCCTGTCAAGTGTCAGGCAAACGTGCGCTGCAAATTCCCAGTGGACGCTTGAACGCCGCAGCTTCGTAGGAAAAGAAGGATTGGAGGGACTTGATAAAAAGAAAAAAAAAAAAAAAAGATTCACTAATACCATCACAGAGGAGGACCAAAGGCCGGACCTGTTGTCAAAAAGTGTATTTGTTCCTTCGTTGCCCTCCGGTGCTCCATGGCTCCTAAGAAGATTCACTTTCAATCCTGTGAGCTGATGAGACAAAAAAAAAAAAGACTGGTTTCAGTGTGAGTCTATGCATTCAAATGACAGCAAAGCCACCAAGTGGCACATTCCGTCTGTGTTATGACTTGGAATCCTGAAGTCGGATACAATGTCATGTCAGTGTGACACAAAAGTGTTCTTATCACGCCCTTTCACTCGACCAGCATTTCACAACCTTTCTTGAACCAAGGCACATATTTGACATTTGAAAATTCCCAGAGCACGCCACCGAACAAAGACGGCATATAAAGTGTATTTCGGATGATCTCATCGTTTACTTGCAAATTAGAACTGAACACAAAACTATTAGTCTGTTGTATGCATGGCAAGAGGGGGGTTTAATTCTACCTCCTGTCCTCGAGTGAAAGAGCATTGAATAATGTCACCACTAGATGTCAGCCATGGCTAAATTATGCTTACAGCAGATCTTATACTGCCCTATGCTACATGAGTAGGCCTAATTTTTTTTTTTTTTTTCCGGATTTACAATGATATGCAGGACAAACATAAGACTTCCATAATACTAAAATTTTGAGTGAGTTGATTTTTGTGAAAACATTTACAAAACCAGTTCTTGCACTCAATGTTGGTTTCTTGTTCAGCAGATTTGTGCCATCCTTGAATGGTCATTCTTATGCAAACAAAGCCCTCTGCAACCCTTTGTTGTTATTTCAAGAGAGTGGATCTTTACAACATCCACTGAGTTTATCCATATTAAAAAGAGCATTTTTATAATACATCTGGTTAGGAAGTGTGTGGGCCTACGTGCCCCCCTCCCCAATAGCATTGATGAAAAATTATGGCATCCTCCAGCATATGAATTGCCCATCATTGGTCTAAATCATCTTTGTTCACCTGTTTATGCTCGTGATGTACACCAATAGCAACAGGCAGAACAATGCAATGCTCTTCCACTAGATGGCCGACAATAAATCTGTTCGTCAACCTGGTGCCATTCATGCAACAGAATAATATCTTTTATGTTCAATTAAACAAGCCCACATTTCACACCGAGTAAGTGGATTTGTGCATGAATTGAGACGAAATGATAATTATTTCAAGATGGATGGATGGCAGAAGAATTTGACGTGCTTGGAAGCTGCAGCCTTCTCACATTGCTTGGGTATCCGGAGCGGCTCGGTGTCTGCGGAAATGACCTGGTGCATGACTCCTCGGAACTGGTAGAGCAATTTCAGGCCCTTCTCCTCTCCCACGCAGGGGTCGTAGAAGCCTGGCAAGCCTGCCTGCGGCAAGGGAAGCGATTCATTTACATTGCATGCGTTATCGCAAAGGCTGATGTGCAATTACCAAACGCGCGTGCGTGCGCAAACGCACACCTTGGAAGTCTCAGTGAGGATGAGTTTGGAGTCCTTGACTAGACACTGCAGCGGCACGGTGACGTCAATGACTTTGGATTTCTCCTGCTTCTGGCTTGTTTCGGACACAAACTTTCCATACCAGGCATTCAGGATGATCAGGCCTGCGGTTAGCAACAGTTGAAAGTTTCATTTGCTTTCGGGTCTCTGGATGTATTCATCGTCAAGTGCATCTGAAGGGCAAAGGCATTCAGCGAGTGTCTCCTCAAATAACCATGTGGAACCTCGACATAAATGTGACAGGAAATTAATTAGCACACTGAGGTCACAGTTTTGATTTATGGCAAAGCGCTCAGACGCAAATTTACACATTTAACCTCTGTAGAGGCTGCAGCATGCAGATTGGCTTCACAGCGCGGGATGATTGAAGTTTTGAGTCCTGGAGCTACAGTATATATAATGCTGCTGACAGCCACCGTGACAAATGTGTCTGATTTACACCTCGGGAGTCCTATTAAGTTTTGAACTTGTCTACAAACTAAAAATGGTCATTTTCACACGCGGCATTTTACCCATCTTGGATTCTTCGGCCTCGATGATTCTCCTCACAGATTCCTGCATCAGCAGAACCTGAAGAAAAGAGGAGGCCGACCTTTTGTTCCCGGTAGCGATGATCAATGATTCCACGTGAAAAGGGAAACAAGTGCATGTTTGCAAGACTCACAGCAGACTCGGCCTCCTGCTTCTTCTTGGCAATGTCTGTGGCTGAGCTCTTCCTCTGCAGCTCCAGCTCTCTGGGAAGCACAGGAACATGTATGACTGACTAGGACTGACCGTGGAGGCTCGCTACTTTTACCGAGCCAACCCCGTCACAGTATGTCAGCAAATGAGGCAATAACAATGCCAAATCGAGGCTGCGAAAAATAGAGCAAGCGGAGTGGCAGGGCAGCTGATTTAAAATGCGGCGACTGCTGTCACAGCTCTGTCGCGGAAAAACTGAATATTCTCTGAATCCCCAAGTCGGGCTGGCATCACACCACTGTTAGTTGAGTGAAAAAGTAAATTGGCATGACGGTGGAGTCGCTCTCCTGCAATGATGTGCAATCCGAGTGTCATGCTGTCAGTCTTGTAAGAAGCACTAGACTCAAGCTTTTGCATCACTATTTGCACTTAATTTTTGATATTGAAGGCGGATTGGAAACGAAATGTGTTCATCCACTATCTGGCAGCTGCTGCTCTGATGCAAAAAAAAAAAAAAAAAAAAAAAAAAAACTGAATAGCCGAGGAGGTTCAGCTCGCAATGGTAAACTCTAATTTGGCCTGTTTTTGCATTGTGGGGAGGGTGGAAGAGATGTGAGCTACGTGGATAGTGGCACTCAGTGTAAGCAGCCAATGAATTCACAACACGGGAGGGTAAACAGAGGACAACAATAGAGGACAGCTGGCCTTTTATCTTTCTTTCTTGTGGCTCTCATTCTATTCTTCTTTCGTGTGTCCAATGGTGGAATAAAGAGTGACTGTGCATTAATGTGCAGAGCGTAGTTGGAAAAGAGATGCAAAGATATGATTTTTACAAGGTCTAGCAATGACAATTTTTTTTCTCCTATTATCATTAATTAAATCTTTTGTATTTTTTTTTTTGTAATCTGTTACACGGCATAGCAGGGACGAATTTGGCATGCAACTTCTGTTAACGGACAAGCAAAATAAATGCATTGAAGAAATTGAAGTAAAATCGCCCTGCTTGGTGCTAATGGGACAACGACACTCAACCGAAAACTAATGAAATCCATACTGACTCTTCTTTCTGCGCTCGCGTGTAAGGGATGATGACCAGTTTGTGGACGGCCATGTAGACCAGCAGCGGCCCCGCCGTGGCATAGAAGACAGCGCTGGGCAGCAGCTGGTCTGTCAGGTGAACTGGAAACAAGTACGTCTGACTGGCACGTGCCAACCTGCGAGAAAACACCCATTAGATCATCGCAGAAAAGGTCCACGGAAAAAAAAAAGGATCCATCAAATGCCGGGTCGTTGAGTACTTGATCTTCAGTGTGACTCCCTGAGGGACGCCGACGCTGACAGTGGCTGACAGGACACTGTGGCGACTGATCTTTCTCTCTGCTCCGTATTCCAGCACTGTTCCGAACCAGCCTGTCCTGGAGAAGGGAAGACACAGACGTCAATAGAGACCAAGAGGCCGCTACTGACGACAGCAACTTGGGCAGAACGTGCAATGACTCAAAGACGCGGGCTGTTTCCTTTCCATCAATACTGTACAGTGGTAGGGGTGAACCATTAATCAAATGCAAATTGACACTGCAAAAAAAATGTATATATTTTTATCGCCCTAGTCAAGATTACGCTGCAGTATATAGTGCTTCTTTTTTCACAGTGCAACCGCTCTCGTCCACAAATTTGAGGAGAATGTACAAGAACGTGCAGAATCAAACATAGTTAGACACAATTAAAATTTACAGGAGATCTAATATTTGATCGCCAATCACATGCGCAAACTGTGGTGCAGTGAGAGACCCGATTCCTCCTTTGAATAAAATGATGTTTGATCATGAAATAAGGGTCATTATTTAATCTGCTTTTGATACTGACGTGGAGTGTGAGTGTTGTTAAAATATTCAACAATCCCGATTTTTGATCAGTCAAGTTCAGCTGTTAAATTAAACAGTCGGATGGTCATGTAAGAAATTAGATCACAAGAGTATTTTTTTTTCGAACACCTTTTTTTTTTTTAAATAAAATTTCTTTACAACTAAAGAAAAATACATACATGAAAAATAGACATGAAGGTAATGTTCTGCACTTGACTTTCTATGCAACTGTCATATAATAATAATTGCCTGGAGGAGTTGTGCCACAGCGGAGGCCAACGTGGATCTCGTGCTTCTTTCGATTCTTTTCATCAACAATCAATTCCACACAATCAACGGGTATCTTTCTAGTCAACCTCTAGATCGCATGCCCATTCCGACGAGCACTCATGTGACGCACTTATGTGGATGACAGACTTACTTGACAGAACCTTTGACTTTGGTCTGGTCCTCATCTTGGAACTTGTACTGGTAGCTCATCATTAGGTAGGAGTGGGGAACACCCAGCTAGAGAGGCCATTTAAATATTGCAGTTAGAGCACAAACAACATGCCCGGACCACATCATTAGCTGCACCACAAATGCTTTAAAAAAGGAACCCCCCCCCGAAAAAAAGGTGGTGGGTAATAATCCTCAGTCTGGATCCACATTTTTAAAGAGCTCTCCAATTTTACGATGTAATAATATCAACACCTCTCCAGCGCAGTTCCTCTCTAGTCTCCAGTTCCTCTCTAGTCTCCGTAATGATGAACGATCAACTATCCTGTAGCTGTTAAATACACAAGTGCATCTCAATAAATTTGAATAAGGGGGGAACGCTTAATTTCAGTAGTTCAAGTCAAAAAGTGATACTCATATATTACTTCTTGGGAGTAATTCACAACACGTAGAATGAACTATTTCATGATTTAATTTTATTGACTATATAGAAATCCAACATTTCACCATAACAAGAAAATACAATATTATGGCAAAAGACATGAAAATAATTTTCTCAGACAGAAACAAGGAAGGAATTTGCCTTCTAAGAGTTTTTTCCTGTGTTTAATGAATCTGTGTATGCGTTTCACTGTTTGAATTGAATGACTGAAATAAATGAACTTTTCTACAATGTTCTTATTCATCAAGATGCATTAGTACATTGAGGCTTAGCTCTGTCCAACATTTGTTCTCTTTTAGAGGCGCGCTTGTGTTTTCTGTCACGCTCTATAATGCATTTTGAAATTGTTCCGGAATTGTATGTGACGTTTATTGTGGGTAACAGTAGCTCATCTGTAAGAGGACTTTGGAACCAGAGCGTCCGTATATGCTGGAATTTTAATTCAACACTTGTATTGTATCTCAGTTATTGTGCAAGTGCACCTTAAGTGAGAGTAGTTTCCAAATGTGTCATGTTACAAGGGACACGTAAATGTTCGGATTACCTGTACAGCCAGAGTGAAGTGACTACTCTTCGTGTCCCGCACCACACTTGTGGTCATGGCACTGGTGGGCCCCCAGCGCCACTGCAGATAACCCATCGTGTTTTGGTCCAGGTGGCGTGCTGTCATCAAAGAGCAGCTGGGGCGTAAGCCTCGGGGGGAAAACTGCAAGCCGCACTGCGCTGTCAAGAAACTGAGCAGAGGAATGGCATCGAGCAGATAGAGCAGAACAACAAAAGTCCATGTGCTACATGAAATGCGTGGGTTAAACTCTTGGGCCATACCATCGCTGCGTGATGTTACGAAACACCTTCAAACCAATGAGAGGTCCCAATATGTCTCCTGCTCCAAATTCCACCTGCGTGGATTTAGAGAGAGTCAAAATTAATTCGGACAGCAAGCAGAAATGATGCTCGCAGCTTGCTGAATCCTCAAAATGATCATAAAAAACTTTGACGCCAGGTTCCGCCCACACAAGATGGTGCCGGCAAAAGAGTTTTGCAATTTCGTGATTCACAACCATCGACAGTGCTAAAGCATATTATCCAATTTCAGTGCCCCGCCCCCCATTTCATTTTCCGCTCTTTTTTTTTTTTTAAACGAGTTAGCTAGCTAGCTAGATAGCTCAATAGATAGATTATAGGAGTATATTACGTAGATAGATATTTATAATTTAAACAGGGATTACAGCGTGGAATATAAAACAAAAGAATGAAAAAAATGTCAGGGGGCGCACAACCACATCTATCAAAACTACCAATGTACTGTATGTATACACAGTGACTATGTTGACTTGACAAGAGGTGGACAAACAGAGTCGTTTCACATTCTGCCATCTAGTGGGAAGAGCATTCCATTGTTCTGCTTGTTTCTATATGTTGCTGGCATATGCAGATGAACAAAGACACATTACCTGTGGTAAACAATTTTCGGACCAATGAAATGACTTTTTCGGCACATCTGATGATCTCTCACGCTAATAATGCATCATAGTTATTGGCGATCACTCGTCGATGTTGGAGCCTCACCTCTCCCCAGCCTTGAGCAGATGTAACCCTCCGAACAGTCATGTTAATGTTGCCCCCACCGTTACCATTGTGTGTCGAGAGCGAGCCAGAGAGCACCGCTGTGTCAGAGTTTGTCAAAGGGGCCTAAAGAATAACAACAAAGCTGATAAAACAGAAAAAGTCTGCTTTATAGAGTCCAAAATGTAACAGGCTGCCAAGTAATATTAGCATACTTCAGTGATTATTTTTATTTATTTTTTTTACCTCGATGGACTGGGAGATATGCATCTTGTTGATCTCAAGGTGAGGAAAACCTCCACCTGGCGTCTCCTCAAAGTCTTCATCGTAACGATCAAAGAGGTCAGTCGCATCCACACCCACACTGATGGTGCCCTATTGATGAATGAATCATGATTTAGTTGAAGGAATGCATGACAGAATGCAGTGCAAGTCAAGATCAAATGCAAATAATCCACATAAGAAAAATACCCGACCGATATGGATTTTTTTTTCGGCCGATTCCGATATTAGGCAGTTAAAAAAAAAAATCTGCTAACCAATTAACTGGCCGACACACCATTTGAATTACATTCTGTATCTACAATGAACCTCAGCCTATGTGCAATGTGCTTTCAAACTTTCTTCTATTATTTTTTTTTCAGTAATTCATCAATTTATGTATTTTTTCTCAAATTCCACCTGCGTGGATTTAGAGAGAGTCAAAATTAATTCGGACAGCAAGCAGAAATGATGCTCGCAGCTTGTTGAATCCTCAAAATGATCAGAAAAAACCATGACGCCAGATTCCGCCCAAACAAGATGGTGCCGGCAAAAGAGTTTTGCAATTTCACGATTCACGACCATCAACAGTGCTCAAGCATATTATCCAATTCCAGTGCCCCGCCCCCCATTTCATTTTCCGCTCATTTTTTTTTTTTTTAAACGAGTTAGCTAGCTAGCTAGATATACTCCAATAGTCTATCGATCTATGTAGATAGATATTTATAATTTAAACAGGGATTACAGCGTGGAATATAAAACAAAAGAATGAAAAAAATGTCAGGGGGCGCACAACCACATCTATCAAAACTACCAATGTACTGTATGTATACACAGTGACTATGTTGACTTGACAAGAGGTGGACAAACAGAGTCGTTTCACATTCTGCCATCTAGTGGGAAGAGCATTCCATTGTTCTGCTTGTTTCTATATGTTGCTGGCATATGCAGATGAACAAAGACACATTACCTGTGGTAAACAATTTTCGGACCAATGAAATGACTTTTTCGGCACATCTGATGATCTCTCACGCTAATAATGCATCATAGTTATTGGCGATCACTCGTCGATGTTGGAGCCTCACCTCTCCCCAGCCTTGAGCAGATGTAACCCTCCGAACAGTCATGTTAATGTTGCCCCCACCGTTACCATTGTGTGTCGAGAGCGAGCCAGAGAGCACCGCTGTGTCAGAGTTTGTCAAAGGGGCCTAAAGAATAACAACAAAGCTGATAAAACAGAAAAAGTCTGCTTTATAGAGTCCAAAATGTAACAGGCTGCCAAGTAATATTAGCATACTTCAGTGATTATTTTTATTTATTTTTTTTACCTCGATGGACTGGGAGATATGCATCTTGTTGATCTCAAGGTGAGGGAAACCTCCACCTGGCGTCTCCTCAAAGTCTTCATCGTAACGATCAAAGAGGTCAGTCGCATCCACACCCACACTGATGGTGCCCTATTGATGAATGAATCATGATTTAGTTGAAGGAATGCATGACAGAATGCAGTGCAAGTCAAGATCAAATGCAAATAATCCACATAAGAAAAATACCCGACCGATATGGATTTTTTTTTCGGCCGATTCCGATATTAGGCAGTTAAAAAAAAAAATCTGCTAACCAATTAACTGGCCGACACACCATTTGAATTACATTCTGTATCTACAATGAACCTCAGCCTATGTGCAATGTGCTTTCAAACTTTCTTCTATTATTTTTTTTTCAGTAATTCATCAATTTATGTATTTTTTCTGTAAAAAAAAAAAACAGAACTGAGAAATTGACGTGAGGCTTGACTGTCACTGATATTTATCCATTCAGCTGACTTTGTGTGAGAGGTGGGGCACACCCTGGTTTGGTCAACAGTCAATCACAGGGCTCATATACAACCTTGGGGTTCGTTCTTTGCTGAAGCTTCCTCTCTTCTCTTTCTCGTTGTAAACGTTCATACTCTTCCCGAATTTCTGCTGGTGTTCTTTTTCGTTCTACCACCTAGACAAGCATATTACCATATTGAGGATAGTGACATCAAACCAAAAAAAAAAACACTTTAGGAAACAGAAAACCTACTTCCCAGCCCTCTACTTCCAATCCTTTTTTCCCAAAGAGGTCATAGATCGATCGAGCGTGAGGATCACTTAGCACTGTGGAAACAAAGGGAAACAACTTGATGTGATGTACAGGGTCACGGTCCACAATATTTTGTGGCCATTTATTGTTTTTATTTTCCGGTGTTTGGGTTCATCTTTGCATATGTGCGGTAGCTCTCCCCTGCTCTTTGCTGATTGGTGGCCGACCAATTCTTTGCCGATCAATCAGTGCAGGGAAGAGTGACCCAATTAACAACTACTTGCAGGTGTGCCGCCACCTGCCAAGATTAAGCACCACTGGAATCAGTTGTTTTCAGTTAGGGGGAGGGGGTGGTGTGCTGTTCTGTTCGTTGTCGGTACACGGGGCTGACTGGGTTGTGAGTATTGTTGTGGTTTTCAGGCCTAGTCCCTTGTAAGGTCTAGCTGCCACTGCCTCTTGATTAGTGCAGCTAAATTGTTTCCTTGTCATAGCCATCATCCATCCAGTTAATTTGTGTCCACTTTATTCATTCATGTGCTAGAGAACTTTGACATAATTATTTTTTTCTTCACTAATTTCACCGGTATTTATTCACATTGCGATAAGGCAGTGGGATTTAGAAGTGTTTACTCCAACCCTGTCCTGTTGTGTGTTGTGACCCCACCTCCCCCGTTCGCATCTGTGTTAGTACTTGTAAAATACAGAAAAACATTTTTAAATGTTTGATTTTTGTCATTGTTCTTGTATGAACTATGTTGCTCGATAGATCATAGCAAAATAGTTCATCTCGTATCCTTACCTTCAAAGGCTTGGTGCACCTGATTGAAAAGCTGTTCAGCTTGTATTTTCAGCTCAGGGTCGCGATGTTTGTCAGGATGGTAGAGCATGCATAGCCTCCTGTACGATGCTTTCAGCTCCTCCAGAGTAGCCTGTGATCAGATGGAAATGTTTTCTCATCCTTTCTTCTCTCCAGATACTCCATCTTCCACCCACATTCCAAAAACATGGATCACCATTCTGCACCAACTAGATCAATGAGGCAAAACTATGCAATACCCTACTACGATTTAAGAACTAGGTGTCAACAAGTGGAACAATATAATGCACAAGTAGCATGCAGTTGTCAATATGTGCAGTTTCTCCTCACTCGTAACATGTACAGTACTTACCCGACTAGTATGGCAAAAGCAGTAGGAGAAAATGGTTACTACTGTATCGTAAAACACGCACAGTCGTTCTAAGTTCTGTTTGTTCGATTGTCTTACAACTGGTTCATAGGGTTTATACTGGATATCAAATAAATGCCCAGACGGCTTTCCATGCTCATATTTACTGAGACGTGCAAAATAAAATATGGTTCATTGGTGTCTGTGCAGCATCACCCGGTCTCAACCTCCTTCCTCCTCGCTAGCTGGATGACGCACCGAACACTTCCTAGTGAAGCAACCTAAGCACAACCGTCGCACTGACGGACCTTCGAAAGCTCAAGGTCGGCATATTCATATTCAACATCCGTACCTCCTTCCTCACGTTGAGTAGCGAGTAGTAATCCTGATTATTGAAGTCAACATCATCGTCTAAGGACGCAGCCATGTTCGAGTTCGCTGTAAATCCCGCCCACAACTCAAGTGAACTAAAAGCTCATTGGCCCAAAAAAAAAGAAAGCAGGTGGTTTTTGGCGCCCTCTGCAGGTAATGTGAGGACACACTCCTGCCTTCAAACTCATTTCTACCTCATTGTCGTTAACGAGTTCACATTTTTCAAAGTTGAAGATTAAATAAACACATGGAGATAACAGAGGTCCCCTTTCATTTACTCTCTTTGGGCTATATCAGTCCTTTTGTACGTACCTGCGCTTGTGCACTTTTTATCAGCACGCATTCTCCCGTCCAGACTTTTCACACGCTTACCACATTAAACCAGGGGATGAGTGCGCAAACACCAAGGAGACATGATTCATTAATTATGAGGATTACTGTAATTCATGGAACATTTTTTGAATATGAATTTAATGTTCGCCGATGTTTTAAAATTTGAATTGCACCAAAAGCAGTGGCCTACAGTCATCCATGAAAACTATTTGCCGAACCCCACACACAGCGTGACAATCGGTTTTGGTTGTGTCGCTCGGTGTGCAACAGTTTTAAATTAAACACACACGCGCGCGCACACACACACACGCGCGCACACACACACACACACACACACACACACGCACACGCGCTAATGAAAATGCTACATATATTAGAGACGGAGGAAAACATCAAACAACTAACACTGAATTAGCTAGTACTATTTACAAATGCAGGTAAGCATGCTAAGAAATGTCTTTTTGTCTTGACTTAATGTGAATTTCAAGTCAGATGCATTACTGCCACATGGTGGAAGTGTAGAGCAGGGAGTTACAGCAATTTAATGGAAAGTAATTTTGTTGTAATTAAATGAATATTGGTTGATCCACCACAGCTAGTGGTTTTGCAATTCAGATGTATGCTATTTCTAAAAATCTGAAAAAATACATTCGTAAATGTTGCCATCCATCCACCCATTTCCAACATGTGCAAAAATGTAAACTTAAACAATGCACTGATCAGTTTTTCTCAGGACTATCATCCAATTAGTAATTACCATATAGACGCAGTGTATTAACATTGTTGCTAAATGCCTTTGGGTTGTCCATTTTTAAGAAGGACCGTTTTGCTCAATTTTTCAGTGTCACATTGAGTAAAGAATTATGGAATGCGTTTTTTTTTCATGTAATGCTTTAGGGCCATTTTTATTGGAGCACCGAATCCCTAAAAAACGCACAAATTCAACAAGATTAAAGAGAAGGTAATTTTCTTCGGATCTCTGACATGACTAATTTTATGTGACACCATTATTATACTTTCAAAAAGACGAAATACATATGAATATGGGGTGTAATTTAGCAATTCATGAATGTTTTACTAGCACAAATTCATTTCTGTACATTCATATGTTATAATAGTGCTAATGTAAGTGTCATACTCTTACTGCTTGAACTACGCACCGGTGAGTATAATCATAGATCCACGTCTTCTTGTTTTCCAAGGTTAAAGTGCATGGAAACTTCTGAGCATGAAATTGAGTGAGTATTGTCTATTTCAAACTCAAGACAAGGGCACAGACTGGCAGCAGGTGTGAACTTTTGTGCTTTTATTTATGTGCAGGAGATGAATCAGTACTTCTGCTCTTTTATTTTTTGCACAAGTTTCTGTTTTTCAACTAAGGTCTGCATAAATTCTCAGTCATCTGGGTCAGAAAGGATTTGTTTGTTGAATACAAGAACAATTGCGGTCCATTTGCCTCAATTCAACATATGCATATTAAAAAGGCAAAGAAAAAGAAGGTATTTTTATTCCAGCAATCACACAGGGGGCCGGGGATAATTTAAAAACACCCAAAAAACCATGTACAAGTCAAAAATTAAAGGAAAGAAGCAGAGCTAATGAAATGAAGTCCTCCCGCCATACTACTTTGCTTATGTAAAATAAACCATTGTATTTATTCATAGCTAAATATTTGCTTGTGAGATTAATACAAATTTTAATGATTTGCTTTTGTAAATATATTTCCATACATAAAGTTTGAAATTTAAAAAAGCAATACTTAAAAAAAAATCCAATCTGTACATAGCCAATGAAGGTCGTGTGGTCTTTCGAAACTTTGTACCAAATTATTGCTACTTTTCATCACGTTTCCATCTGACGGATGCTCTATTGCGCATGCGCGCGGCCTCTGCAGGCGCGTGCGGAGCTGTCCTTTCAGCACCAATGACAGAGGCTGCCTGCCCACGCGCATCTGCAAACTCTGCTCACTCGTGTCTCCCCCGCACCCTGTTTCAGTTCACTTGGAAACCGCGAGAACGCGACAGCAGCTTGTGTGCGAGAGACAAAACGATGAAGCATCGCTCGAGGAGGATGAGGAGGCTGTCAAGGTTGTCCTAGAATACAGACGTGATGAAGTGACGTGATAGGGGCGGCAGGGGAAGAGAGGGGCGCGCGTGAACGTCAGTGGGCGGACCTTGCGGGAAGCGCCTCCATCGCGGATCCCCTCTGTCAATCACTGGCGTTTGAGCCAATCGCCCAACCGGACGTGGCAGGCTCGCCCGCCCACCGCTGCCGAGTCAGCTTCTCGGCCCCGCCCCCTCCTTGAGCTGTCCTCTCCGAGTGTGCACGCGCGTGCGCCCCCCCAGCCCCCCACCCCGCTCCTACCACCAACACTAGGTCGAGTCGAAGAGGAGGAGGAGGAAGAGGAGGAGGAGGAGGAGGGATGAGGCGCGCGGCGGAGGGGAAATGGCTGCCGAAAACAAGCCGGAAGGTAAGACAGAAATATCGGTTTTAATTTAAGGTGGCGCCGTGTCGCTATATTTGGCCTTGAGACGAGGAGACGACCGGACGCAGGGGTACCGACGAGGGAAGAGATAAGAGCCGGGCTTTCCCCTTTCTTGCTGTCCGAGCCGAAAATACAGAGGCAGGCTGGCTTGGTGCTGAAGCAGCGACAGCATAAATAACCGACACAGAGTTACTGTGTGCTGTCGGCGGTGCTGGGATGCAGTCGAGCCGAGTGCTTTCGAAGCGTTTTAACAACGGAAAAGGATGAGGAGAGGATGAGAGTGGTTCACGCTGAAGGAATTCAGATGCTGCGCGCGCGTGCGTGCGCGCGCGTGCGTGTGTTTATGTGACTCTCCTTAAAGTGTAATAGACCGCTGCATTTCAAATTTCCTGACGCACAACACTCAAGAGCTTTCAGTGTTCTATGTTGTGTGTGTGTGTGTGTGTGTGTGTGTGTGTGTGTGTGTGTGTGTGTGTGTGTGTGTTTATGTTTATTGCCATGTGTGGTTCTGCTTGCTTCACATGACTATCTGGTTGCATTTAGGTGGAGGCAAGAGAAAGGGTGTGTGCGTAGTGTAGTATTTGTGTCAGTTTTAAGCAGTACTGTTTTTTGTTTTTTTCTTCATATTTTACTCCCCCTATTGAACTCTTGAGGTCATTATCACTCACAGCCACCATTTAATCCAGACTGTTATGCATTCGTTCATGCATTATTTAAGAGGCGGCAACGTTATCGCTATCTCGTCTCGTGGATTCATTAATTTATGGTTTATTCAGTGTGTTTCATTTGATTTGTTTATATACACCCCCCAGCCACCCGCCCCACCGCCACCACCCTTGTCAATGTGTTCAATGATTGCTTTCGTTGAAAGCCAACAAACATGTTACGCATGACAAACACAGTTCCGCCGCAGATTACATGGCGAAATGACATTCATATCACACGTAAGTGTTGACTCGGTTATATTTTTCAACTATTAATTGGCAGGGCTCATAAATGACAGAGGCTCTCCACTAGGGAGCGATACTGGCAGGTATTTCTCCAAGGGGGGCAATTTTTAGCAACACACATGCAGTGTCATATATTGGTTAGACCCATTTTGTGACACAGAGCACTGAAAGCCTCCTTCACATACACAAACACACACGTGCAAGCGAGCGTGCAGCGAGTAGCCAGAGGCAGGGGGAAGGTCGTGGGTTGAGAGTCCCATTGCGTGAAAATACTTGAACTGAAAGATGAAGCAGAAGGCCCATGGGCAGTTCAGCAGGCAGTGTACCACATAAATATAAAACCATCCCCCTGCCCATATTGTAGCCACACACACACACTCGCACACACACTGCACGAGGAAACCTTTTGTCCACTGCCCCTCAATGTTACATATAGGGAGGATGTTACAATTCACGAGACCCGGCCCAGCTGAATGAACGGCGAATGAATCACGGCAGCGAGGGCAGGAGACGGCCGTCCAACTCTACCCATCCCGTAGCGGATGTGTGTGGCGCCGATCCGCAGAGCTCACGAGTGGGCATGCGAACAGCATCCACCGTATAGCTTGGAAGACCCTCTCCCTGTGCACTGGTTGGACTAGTTTGTCTCATAGCAACAGTGGTCAGGGAAACAGAAATGATGAGGGTGAGGAGAAACTAAAGCAGGGTACAAGTTAGTCACACGCGCACACGCACGCACACGCGCGCGCAAACACAGATAGCGTTTCGACTGTGGCCAATCGATCAGAGGATACAATTGATGCTCAGAAAATGGATCAGCCCACATTCATATCAGTTGGAGTTGGATTTGTGGGCTTAAGAGGAGGAAGAATGGTTTGAGAAAGAACAAATGCCAAGAGCTTCTCCCAAATATGTCTTTTGTCTTTTTCTCTTTCTGCAGGACTGAAGAAGATTAGAAATCCAGAGCGAATGGTCAGGATTGCAGTTGGTTACACGGGACACACCCCTCCCAAGAGTGATGACACTGACGCCAACAGTAAGAGGCACACAAACAAATGCCACACGTGTGCGTGTGTGTGTTTGCGTGTGTGTGTGTGTGTGTGTGTGTGTGTGTGTGTGTGTGTGTGTGTGTGTGTGTGTGTGTGTGTGTTCATTTAAGTGCCGTGCTCACATTTGTCTATAGCGCAGGGTAAGTCTGGGAGCGAGTATAAAAGCTTTCTGGCAGAATGATGTGATGCAGGAACTGAGGTCTTGCTCTGTAACAGATCTCACACACACACACACACACACACACACACACACGCCAAAAATACACTCTATCTCCATGTTTCACTGCTGAGACGTCATGATAATTCAGCACTGTAACACTTAATGTTTATTCATGCATGCCAGTACAGTATTAGCGGACACACACACACACACACACACACACACACACACACACACACACACACACACACACACACACACACACACACACACACACACATTAAACTGCACCATCGAAAGTCACAGTAAAGGCAAGGCTCATTTCAGCTATTAGTAGTTTATTGTCAAACCTAATCTGTACACATGGCATTATGTATCTGTAATCCTCAACGGGCCTGCTTAAAGTCAGCACTGAGGCACACTGAGTAGTCTTGGGTCGCTGCATGCTTGAAGTTGGGAATGTGTGTGACGAGTCCCTCTATGGAGGGACTGCCTATGTACGCAGTGATCATTCCGACTGGTTATTGATTAGAGATGATGCTGGACGTGTGTGGGTTTATGAGCATTATCAGCTGAACAGACTGGAGGAAGGTGAATAGATGTAAGGACAAGCAGTCAGACATGGCGTGCTTATTGATGGCACACACGCACTCACACCTACGCATGCTGCTGACATACGCACAATAGAACAAGGTTGATTTAATATTCATTGTATGAAAAAAAAAATAGGGGTTGCCTGTGTGGATGTAGTGTACTCAAAAATGTATTTGGATCCATTTTATTGTGTCCAACTACTAAGTAAAGTAAATTCAACACTTTTTATTTCAGTGTGTGCATTGGTCGGCAAAAATCTGCTTGTAATTGATGCCAATTTAAATGCATTGGCATGTGCGTGTGTGTGTGTGTGTGTGTGTGTGTGTGTGTGTGTGTGTGTGTGTGTGTGTGTGTGTGTGTGTTGAAAAATTAATCAAGGGGCCACTCAAAGTGTGAACACGGGCCACACGCAGCCCGTGGGCCACAAGTTGAGCATCACTGCTCGAAACTGTCCTTAATTTAAGTGTGATTGTGAGTTTGTGTTTATCCATTATGCACTGAGATTGACAGGCGACCAGTCCGGGGGTGTATCCCGCCTCCCACCCCAAAGTCAGCTAATGAAGAGAAGCGCTCTAGAAAATGGACGGATGTTTGGATGTTCGATAGGAGTTGAGGCTTGCTCTCGCTGTCTTCTATCAGTTCTGTAGTCCCAGTTGGAGGATTACCCGAGGAAAAGTTTATCAGCAGAATGATAAAATTAGCATGCACGCCCAGCTCTCCGTCCCCCCCACCTCATCCCCTCATCCCCCCCCCTTTCTCTCTCCCCTGCATCCTTCCTTCCCCTTACACCCTAACTCATCCCGTGCAGCGTTCCCCTCCTCCCCCCGCCTTTCTTCTCTCTGCCCTCATGCCCTCCCTCCCATCCCTCTCGCTGCTGCGCAATGAGCCTTTCTTTCTCTATGTCACATTAATTTTATCCTGAAAAGAGAGAGAGAGTGTGTGTGTGGGGGGGGGGGGTATAAAAATTTCCCCTGACGCATCCTAATATCAGAGGGGGGGAAGCGTTAAGAGTTGCATTTGGAGCATCTCTCTTCACTGAGGAGAATTTCATAATTAACTGACAGCCTTCTCACAAGGGCATTGGCTTGTTTCTGTGTTAAATATGGAGATGGCAGTTTTATGAGGTAAAATATTCATTAGTCGCAGACTTCACTTCTGTGTGATTTTGGTATAAATCAAAGCATTTGATCAGCTGCGAGAGCAGTCTTTCACTTTGGTCAACGCTTTCTGGCAAGCATGGGACTTAATACGCCATTAGGCCCTCTTTTTTGCAGTCTCGTGTCGTCCCTTTTTTGACTGCTTTTCATGCGCGTGTTTGACTAAAATAAAGTAACGCTGTTACATTATTAATGTACTCTATGTTATGCAGTATATAAAGTCAAACGCAAGCTGTTCTGTGATGCTCGTTGACTTCCAGATTGTCAAAACTAATTTCCCATAGGATAGAATGTAAAGGGAAAGTAAAGCGAGCCCCGTATAATGCAACAAAATGAAACTAAAATAAACTCCAACCCACTTACCCTTTGAAGACCCCCCGACATAAATAATGAACATTTTACACACCCCTGTTCAAACTGCCAGGTATTTGCAATATTACGCAAAAATACACCAAAGTGACTCATTTTAAAAACATTTTATATAACTGAAACAACTCAATTCAAATTCTTTTTTTCTTTTCGAGAGGGGAAATACAACTTAAACATTTGAGATAATGCGGCGGCACATGCGTGCTCGTCGTCTTGTAACTGGAATTTAGCTCTGTTTGGAATTAACCGATCAAATTGGTGTCAAATAGGAGTCAGCACGCATCTGGCATCATTTAACGCACCTCTGCTTATATCCGCAGAAACTTCAACTGTTCTAGTGGGCTTTTCCTGTTATTTGAAAAAAAAAAAACATTGCTTGATCGCAGAAGCCTTAAGGTTTCGAGCCAACACTGACTGCTGTTGTGATCTGTTCGTAACTCCGTTCACCTTACTTTGGCCCTCGTTTCAACTGAAGAAAAACAGCATGAAAGCATGACGCTGCCACCAACGTGCGTCAGTGTAGGTATGGTGTTCTTTTGGTGATAAATTGTGCAAAACATACCTTTTTGGAAGTTTAGCTAAAGTGTTTAGCCTTCGCTTCAACGGACCACAACAAACACGGAAACACGTGGAAAAATAGTCAGATGAAACCAAGGCTGAACTTTTGGGCCGTCGTTCGAAAAGCGATGTTTGACGCTACCACAACACCAAAAGAACGCCACTTAAGTGCAGCGGTGGCACCTATCGTTTCCTGGAGTTGTGCAGTAGATAAAACAGAGGGAATTATGAACAGTTCAGATTAGCAGTCATTGATAGCATAAAACCTCCAGGCTTCTCCTAAAAAGCAAATAAAAACATGTTAGGGGAAAAAAAAACTATGAGAATACCTGAACTCAGTTTAGGGTTAGTCAGAGACATTTTAAACCTTTCATGCACGCTGTAACCTGATCCCATGATCAGATGTCTACTGTAGTAACCGCAGTCCCTGAAAGGGTTAAATGGTTTTAGCATGACTTTGAATGTGATCGGTTCATTCTGAACGCAGTCACACCCACACAGTTATTATTTCAGCCGTTTATTTTGACTCCGCCCTCTTGAAAAGATTTTTTTTTTCCCAATTCAGTCGTACACTTGGTCAGATTACGAGTGTAAAACGCTTTGAAATTATTTATCTTGGTACCATTTTTTTTTTTTAATATCACAAAAGCCTGGTGTTGGAACACGGGTGTCTTGACTTTTTATATTCATTATATGACTGGAGAGAGAACAGGGGGGGTTGCGGAGCAATACTGTCACCTAGTGGCACTTGATAAGTGGAATTAAAATTTGATATTGTATGAATTGCATTGCTAATAATTTACTGCACAGCCAGAACTTTTCCTATGTGGCGTTAGGTTCCATTTCTGTTGACATGTGACCCATCAGTGTGTGGCGTCACAACAAATGCAAAACCCAAAAGCAAAACGCGCTCACAGGATGACATCTTGCATGATGTCACACCTGATGGGGATTTGAACTCCAAGATATTTTTCTGGAACATTTTGGTTGCTCTCCAGACGACATGATATTTCTATATTTAGCAACCTGTTCACAGTGTCCTGGGACAAGTAATTTCCCTGGGTAGCCAAAAACTTCAGAGAACTAAAGTTTGTTTTTGTTTTTTTTTTGCCACATGTCCCACCGTAGTACAGCTCCGCTGAGGATCATTTGGAACAGATGGAAGGCGATTGCCCACAGAACCACAGAACCCGGGCGGAATATAATAAGTGGCTGGGGGGATGCATTGTGAGAAATAACACAACTCTTCAGGGTGTTAAAGCTCATCTGTAACGTTGGCCCTCTGTTGAGAAGGGAGCGGTATCGGGAGGATGGGTTAATATGGCGATCGTGTCCATGAAGGTGTGCTTTGAAAGGGATTTCAGCACCAAGGTCACCGGAGGAAAAAAAAAAAAAAAAAGTGGCTCTGGGACAAATACTGTGATGTGTGTGCCTTGATTGGCAAGCACCGTGTGTGTTTGAATGTGTGCACGCGTGGGTGTGTTTGTGTGCAGAATGGCTTTGTTTGATGTGGTGGTTCTGGTACATTTCAAAGGCGAGGCTCTGATGAGAATTCTTCAGAACAGCAGGGGGAGGGGAGTTTGGGAGGGGGGGTGCGGTG